ATACTGGGATGCGATAAATCAAGTGGCATCTAATCGGATTTCACAGGCTTTTAACCATGGTGATATTTCATAGTGATTCAACCACGGTCGACGGTGCTTGATCTGGGCATAAAAATGCCAAAATGCCCATAGGCCGATGGGTCACTTATTGGAAATTGTGATTTTCCGTGGCGAGCTGTTAAGTTACCAAGGGTAAAAAAATGTAAAGGTTTACCCAACCTATCATTCCATGACTGCTTTGGTGATTTTCGGGGGTCCCAATATGGATCATAATCCCCAATACCTGAAGTATGTGTGATAGCATATAACCCCCTATCAGCGACATATTGGGGATTAAGATCCATATATTATCATAACAACAACAATATTGGTTGATGATGATAGGATGGTTCATATTGGATGTTATCATCAACCAACAAGGTTTTTTTAACACAACTTAAATTATATAACTAATTCAGCGACAAGCCATGATTTAAGGGTGCTAACGCCACCTACTCAACCACTATTTGAGACGATGTTTCATCATTTTCATCCCCCTGGAATGCAGAAAGATAAGGACCCCGTTATACTTCCACGATGTGTCAAGGTAATCTCCTTCGACAATCGATTCAACCATATGGGCGCGAGAAGTTTCGGAAGGGGTCCCCAAATAAAGGGAGAGATCTGCAAGTGGCCAGGATTTTATATAGTATTATATACATACCATCTGGTCATTTAACATAGCCATGGGAAATCACTATTTTTAACAGGTAAACCTCTATAAATGGGCCATTTCCCATGGCTATTTTAACAACCGGAGGGTATATTGTATAACATATGATCTATACCATACATGGGAGGAATGGCTTTTCAGCACCACACGGCGAGACTTTGCCAGCAACACCCAGGGATCCAAGCAGCAAAAATGAGAGAATCTTGTCAACAAAACTGATCCTCCCAAAACGTTTACCCTCCGGTAAACTAACAGTTTGCTATTAAAAATTTGGCCCATGTAGTTATAGTTGATTTACCTACTAAAAATGGTGGATCATTCCCATCTGTTTTTTGTAGGTTTTTCCCGGGGACCAGCCCGCCACACGAGATGTCACCTGAAGTGATCACCGAAACATCGGCCCAAAAGGATCCCTGAAGTGATGAAAGCTCCATTTTTTGGGGGATTAAAATGAGTAAAACCTATGTAAGCTCCATATCTTTTTGGGGATGAGATTATATGAAGATCTGCAAGTCTTGGCTGATAATGGACAATTTAAAGAATGAAGATCCGTGGTGAACGTCCCAAAGAACAGAACTCCATGACTCCATCAACTCAATTTTGGAAAACACCCCCCAGAACTCATGCGATGATTTCGTAGGGAATAAATGCATATATTTGGGACCATGAAAAACCGGGGTGTTCAACATTGGGGGGTAGGATTGCTGGCTCTTGACATCTCTTGACCCATGCAAGCCATGATCATATATAGCTTTGTTGGAAAAAATGGAAATTTCCCAAACATCATGGCAGTTTTCAAGCGGACAATGCCGATCATTGTGGTAAATTTGGGTAGCCTATGGAACCCGACAGAGCCATATCCTTGGATTTGCAAGGTGGTGCCCCCAAGATAGCTAAATTGGTTCTAACTCCAATAACTATGGTTTATAGGTGATATATCTATAGTATTCATGGGGTTTATAAACCAATAAATATTTTGCGTGTTTGGGGGTCACCACCTTACGTATAGATTCCACATTCATAGAATCACCTTGACCAACTCCGAACAACTCCAATTGAAGGTGCCCCGCCAAAGATAAAAACGCTCCGAGGCACGAATTGAACCACCATGTTCATCTTTTCTTTTGGATTTCCCCTCAGCGTGGCGGTCCAAGATGGTCCAAGTTGTCAGGCTATGCCACAACCGCAGGTTCCAAGTTGCAGCTAAACACCAAAAAAAACAACAACAACCAACAATTACATCACTTATCACTGCTTTCCAGAGGAGTTTAAGACAAAGGGACAATCAACCAAGGTGCTCTACTGTGGAGCCCACCGAAAGTAGAGACTTTTGAGGGCCCTGGTGTTTGACCATCATACGAACGGCCTGCGAGATCTTGTATCATCTTAAACAGTCGGCCGATCTTGATACAAGTGGTGCAAACAACTTATATACCCTCTGGTTTTTTAACATAGCCATGGAAAATCACAATTTTTAATAGGTAAACCATCTATGAATGGGCAATTTTCCATGGCTATGTTAATTTACCAGAGGGTAACCTTTTTTGCTACAAGTTAGTAGTTGGCTATAGAATACTCCATCTAAAGCAACATGAATCAGCTGCAAGGTCAATGGGTTGGAGGGCCCGTGACCGACATTCTCTGGCTGGTGGTTGAGCCATCCCCTTATTATGACTACATTAGAGAAAAGTAATGTGAAGTACACACATATAAATATATATATATACGTATATATACATATACATTGCATCTTTGTAGTGAACAACAATATCAAAGAAAAAACTCGTTATCTGGAATCATCCACTTGGTAGGCTTTATAACAAAAACAATATGGCTGAAACCACCAGCCAGCTATACAAAATATCCCCAGTTGCAAGTTGGTTTTAAAACTCATCCAACAGTATATATATATATTATATTCCGCCATAAACGCTGCTTATTTATAGTAATCAGTCATAAATCAAGTTAGCTATCGTTTGGGGCCCCGTTTAGTATGGATATTTGGTCACTGCTCAAAAACAGCCAAAAAACATCAGTCCAGCGATCCCATTTTCTCAAAACATGATTAGATGGTTAATACATGTTAATATATGTTAATATTCAACCCCTCGAAAACATATTCAACCAGTGATTATAAACCATTATTAACCATTATTAACCTATCAATGGGTTATTTGGGCTTACTGCAACACGGGGGGTTGACGGGTTGCCTACGGGATGCCTGGGATGTGATGCGACTTATGTTCTAAGACATGGACCATTCCAGCGGCTTTGCCTGCTATCATGGGCGGTGGATCTGCTCTGCCAGGCCGTTGTGTTGCTTGACTTGAATGAGATGAAATCATGATGACATCTTTACATTGGACTGTATCACTTCACCTGGTGTTGAGTTGTGAGGTTTTTTCCAGTTTTCTGATGGTTTTTCTATCGAATTTCCATGTTTTTTCTCCAATTTCTGTTGATCTTCTCCAGTTTTTGCCTCAAAAAATCGCTGTCTTCGGCCTTTGGACATGGGACCGTGGCTCCCCGTGGTTCTCCCCGAGGTTCTCCCCGAGGCGCCAAGCTCAAGTCAGACTGAGCCATTGCCATAGGTCCAACGGTCCGGGCGAAAAACAGCTGGTCCAAAGCATCAAGTGGGATCTTTACCATAGTAACTGTATACCCTCTGGTAATTTAACATAGCTATTGAAAATGGTCATTTATAATGGATTTACCCATTGAAAATGGTGATTTTCCCTAGTTATGTTAGTTTACCAGAGGGTATATAACCATATAATATATGTATGATATGATGGTATGTATAATATAATGGTTACATTGATATGGTATATAGTAATATGGTATGTATGATATGATGGTATATGATCTGTACATATATTTACCATAGTAACTATATAACCATATAATATATGTATGATATGATGATATGTATATAATTATGTATTTTTTTTTATATCTATACATATATCTGGGTAAATTATTATAAAGTATAGTAGGATTCCCATCTGATACGGGTTCCCAGAAGGGGTTTTTGGTAGTTCAGAATTCCAATATGACTGGGCAGTAGAACCCGTATGATATAATCTACCAATTGGTATCGACTGGGCACTGCACAACCGTCTGACTCTCATCACGAGAAATATCATCGACCATAGGCGTCCAACAATAATGAACATCAAGTGCAATACAATGAGATGGACAATACTAACCTGGTTGGTGGTATACCTACCCCTCTGAAAGATATGAAAGTCAGTTGGGATTACTAAATTCCCAATATATGGAAACATAAAATTCATGTTCCAAATCACCAACCAGCAATGAGATGGATAATACCAACAATATTGCATGGGTTTGTGTGAAAACGCAATAGTTCCTAAACTTGTTTTCTGAATAAGAAATGCATGATCAAGTATGACATAACTTGGGGCATGCTAGTAACTAGCTTTAGGCAAACTCACTGGTATCTGGGTGGATATCTGGGTGCATATATGGCCATAGAAATAATTGATTTACTCACTCAAAATAATGATTTTCCATAGCTATATAAACTTGTAAACCAGAGTGTGTATCCCATGGAAATAGCCCATTGAAACACTATAAAATTCCATTATCCCATGGTTTTCCATCGTTTTTTGTAGGTTTACCAGAGTGTATACACTAGTTCACCATTTCACTACAACTTTTTTTCGCTTGAGGCATGTAAGCCACTTGGAGGTACTTGGTTACAGTGGTCGATCGACTTTTTCATACCATCAGACATCAGACGTTTCGAAGCGTAGGTCCAGGTCAATCACTTGAGTCACTGTAATCACGGAGTCGTACAAACCCGCTAAACCTGTGATTTCTAGTAAAGGATACCCTCTGGTAAACATTACAAAAAACTATGGAGCATCACCATTTTTACTAGGTAAATCAACTATAAATGGCCATTTTCAATAGCTATGTTAGTTTACCAAAGGGTAGTTCGGGGTGCATCCCACTTAGGTTATCACATGTTCTAACATGCGAAAAACAACTGTTTGAGATTTATGGAATATCCCATGCCCAAAAACCATGGGCCATGGGTTTTAAACTACTTCCTGGAAAGCGCATCCAAGCAACGACCAAGTTGGCCACTTATATCCCATTAAATCACAATAACCATAGTTTATCAATGGTTACTGTATTCAACAAAAGTTCAGTTCCATTCAAAACCACGCTATCATAAGCTCGTTGGCGCCCCATTTCGTAAGGCATACCCGTAGCTCCCAATGCCTGGTCTCTGGGTTGCCACCAGGGCTTTCTTTTTCTCCACAACAGCACGACGGTATCAATGGATTGGTCTTGTTGGGAAAATCATCACCGGAAACCATGGTTAAAATCCCATCAAATATAGTTTCCAGTTCCAATTTTCCCATCATCCAATTCTGTGAAAGTAGCAGTTCTTCTACTGGAATGACAGTTCTGAACTACTTCTTCGACTTGCTGTACAGGTTGCCATCCAGTCGCTGCACGTCCATCCGGTCCGACAGTTGTCCTGGCATCGCTGAGATGAACTTTTGCAGTTGAAGAAATATTCGAAGCCAACACCCGATGAACCATGAGCCACCATTTGAAGCATGTTTCTCCATATCAAACAACTAAAAACCATTATCAACTAGCCAGTTTTCATCTTGACAAAAATGACTGGAAGGGTTTCTAGTCATGGAGCAAGATGAACCACCCATGCCATGTATTCACAATTCTTGGTAGGTACAACCGCACTCCGACACCATTTATTATGGTAAAATCAATCATCTGATGTAAAACATTCTGGATCATATTGCGGTATATTTTGTTTTATCATGTATTTACGTGTGTAAACTTGGGTTTTACCCCAATGACTTTCGGATTAAAAAACAAAAATTCCAATGGGCGTCCAAAGACACCTTATTCTTCTTTATAAGTAGGTAGTAGCTTTGCGCCACGCATTAAAGATTTTCAGGGGATACCATGTTGCGCCTCGTAAACAACCAACAAAAACAACTCTGATGAATCCATGGTGATTCTATGACACCTCCATGGGGCCGTGGGGCCCAAACAAATGTCCATAACCTACAAAAGCTATGGTTTATGAATGTTTATAACAACCATAGTTATACTTTTTTGTTTAAACATTCATATATATTATATATATAGTAATGTTTGCCCATTCTCCAACCCCCTTATGTCCATACTCAATGGAGGGATTTCTTGAAAAACCAACCGTCAACTTCCGACGGCGTTCCGACGGCTCGGATGGATGATCCTTATGCCCCAAATTATGCCTATAATGGGAATATGGGGCATGAAAAAAAAAACCATTTATGCCTTCTATATCAGCTATTAATGGGAAGGTGGTTGACCTACCCCTCTGAAAAATATGAAAGTCAATGGGACGGATTATCCCATATATTATGGAAAATATATTATGCAATATGTCTATACCATCTGGTTATTTAACATAGCCGTGGTAAGCCATGGCCCATAGAAATAGATGGTTTACCGTTCTTAATAGCATGGTTATTCTCCATGGCTATGTTAAATAACCAGATGGTAGATTAGGGCATATGTTTAGATTAGATCCTTCATATGGAAATATAATATGATATCATGGGCTTTAGTTTTAAGTATCCACATTGTGAAAGGAACACATATGATGCAATATCTCCCTTATAGCCCTCTTAGTCTGGACAAACAATGTTTGGAAGTAATCTTGAAATATCGGGATTATCATGGGATATAATGTGGACGCATAGTCAACAGTATGATTTCGGGGCTGTCCCGAGAAAACATGGGAAGGTTTTAGTCGGGGAATATAATAACCACGCTTAAAGGAGTTTTGTATGGTTTTATCCCAGTTTATGGGATTTATTACCAAGATTTACCAAGTTATACCTACGAATAACCTCAACTGCATCTTAAGTGCTGTTTTTGACCACCAAATTCTGCCACATGACGGGCGCCGAGGGCCGCACTCCTCAAGCTTAGTTGGGCGTCCCCCGCACGAGCGACAGCTTCACCTCCAGAAGATATTCCAGTCTGTACAATGTGGTGCCCACCAAACGTTATGTTTATTGGTTAACAAAAAACCCATGAATACTATAAAAACATGATTATCAACCATAGCAGAATTGTAGTAGCCTAGTACCAGTAGTACCGCACAAGGCGGTGGCGGAAGTTTCAAAAATAGAAAACCTATAGGAGACGTTGGTTGTTGTGAATCAGGGATGGCAGAGCGAAGCCACTGATTGACCGAAAGGTGGTTGGAGTTGTGTTTGCTGGAGTGGTTGCAATGGTTGCAGTGGTCACCTTACCCACAACTGCTGGATGTAGTGTGATGTACTGCAACTGTAGTTGTAGCTGTAGCGTAGTGGAGTTGTACTTGTGGTGTAATGTAATTACTGTAGTGTAGTTGCAGTCATATAGTTGTAGTTGTAGTTGCTGTGTAGTTGTAGTTGTTGTGTAGTTGTAGTTGTAGTTGTAGTAGTTGTAGTTGTAGTTGTAGTTGTTGTGTAGTTGTAGTTGTTGTGTAGTGTAGTTGTAGTTGTTGTAGTTGTAGTTGTTGTAGTTGTTGTAGTAGTTGTAGTAGTTGTTGTGGTAGTTGTAGTTGTAGTTGTTGTTGTTGTAGCTGTAGTTGTTGTAGTTGTAGTTCTAGTTGTAGTTGTTGTGTAGTTGTAGTTGTAGTAGTTGTAGTAGTTGTTGTAGTAGTAGTTGTTGTTGTTGTTGCTGTTGTTGCTGTTGTTGTTGTTGTAGTTGTTGCAGTTGTAGCTGTAGTTGTTGTAGTTGTTGTAGTTGTAGTTCTAGTTGTAGTTGTAGTTGTTGTGTAGTTGTAGTTGTTGTAGTTGTTGTAGTTGTTGTAGTTGTAGTTGTTGTGGTTGTTGTGGTTGTTGTGGTTGTTGTTGTTGTTGTTGTTGATCCTGCTGTTGTCGTCGAAGTTGGGTAGTGAAGTTAGTTAAGTTAGTTAAGTTAATCAGTGTCTACTTTTTCGACATCTTAACGTCAAAAAAGGCTCAAAACCCTCAGTTTTTAACACTTTTGACTTCGACATGTGCTTCGCGCCACAACGGCGTGCACTTTTTCGACATCTCAACTTCCAAAAGTGGTCCGAGAATGGTGTGTTTTGTACATTTTGACTTGGAAATGTGCTTCGCGCCACAACGGCGTGCACTTTTTCGATATCTCAACTTCCAAAAGTGGTCCGAAGCTGGTGTGTTTTGTACATTTTGACTTCGAAATGTGTTTACCGCCACAACGGCGTGCACTTTTTCGACATCTCAACTTCCAAAATGTGCTTCGCGCCACAACGGCGTCCGACCATGGTGTGTTTTGTACATTTTGACTTGGAAATGTGCTTCGCGCCACAACGGCGTGCACTTTTTCGACATCTCAACTTCCAAAAGTGGTCCGACGCTGGTGTGTTTTGTACATTTTGACTTGGAAATGTGCTTCGCGCCACAACGGCGTGCACTTTTTCAACATCTCAACTTCCAAAAGCGGTCCGGACCTGAGGTGTTTTGTACATTTTGACTTGGAAATGTGCTTCGCGCCACAACGGCGTGCAATTTTTCATCGCTCCTGTGGCCAGCTGGGTCCGCACCCGCCGCTTTAGCGAGCCTACTTTTCGACCCTCCGGAGCCACAAATCATTGTAAAAACACAGTGTTTCGCGACTTTCCTACCTTTTCGCGCATCTGTATCTTCTGTCCTCTTACTCTTTCTCTTCTGATCTTCTCTCTTCTAATCTTCCTCTTCTCTCTGCCTCTGCCCTCCTCTGCTTTTCATCTGTCCATATTGTCGGAAGTTTGACTTCTAAACTTCCTTCGAACATTAATTTCTACCTTATTAACTCTGGCATAAACCATGGTTATTGGAGGAATATTATGGCAGATATTATGGCACTGGAGGAATAAAAAACCATGGTTCATGGCAGATCCCATAACTATGGGTTTCCATAGCTTATTGGAGGAATCAACCATTATTACCATGGTTTATGTTACTACAGATATTATGGTTTTAAACCATGGTTTGTTATTTGGTTTATGGATAAAAACAGTGTGGAAATATTATAGAATACTATAAACCCCATGAATACTATAGATATATCACCTATAAACGATAGTTATTGGAATTATAAACCAACTGAACGCTATCGACTGGGCACCACCTTGTGTGAACTTTGATCGAACCCATGCCTTGAACAGCGCTGAACAGCTCTCAATGCCGGAAGATCGCCACGCAGCACGCAGCCAACCAATAGTTGCGATGACCGTAGCGAACACATCACCAAGGAACTCCCTCGCCTTTTCGTTTTTTCCGGCTATCACCGCGCTCCTTCGCTACACCTTTGGGCTCTTTGCATTGGTAAAAACTTTGACACATCTTCCCTGATCTTCCCTCTCTGGCCTAAATTTGATGATTTCTGGCTACGTCCCCAATTGTTTCAGGCACATCCCCATTAATTAGCTTACAGGCCATGTTGGTGCAACCAGTAAACCCAATAATAACCGACCATTTGGGGCATGTCGGAAAAATGGCGTTTTTTTTTTGCTAATCTTGGATACATCTGAACAAAACAATGAAACTTAGATACAGCGTCTTCCCAACTTCAAACACCACCATTGTATGGTCGAAAATATGTGATCCATCCCCATCTAAACCAGGGTATTGTTTTGGGGATGCTTAGTATGAACGGGGCAAGGGGGATTTTGGTAGTTTATCCATTCTAACCATTGTTAGTTGGCTATATCCTCATTCTACCCCCATAAATATCAAAGGTAATCTGGTTGGTGGTTTTTAATCTTCTTGAAGCATATTAGTCAATGGGAAGGATTATCCTGGCAAATAAAAAATGTTCCAAACCACTAGCCAGTAATTAGTCTATGTTCACATTTTCCAAGGACAACTCACCTACCAAAACCTACACCAAGGTCAGTGGCCAATTTTCAGGGTATGGCTCACAAACACAGTTATTTAGCGAAGATGTTTACGCGTCAAAATTTATAGATGCGCTTGCAGAAATCCACTTAGATACCCTGAGTGCTTGAAACTTCAAATCTTTCAGTCAAAATGTCTACAAGAAACACAACAGAATCTAAAACTGACTTGGTAACTTACCATGTTTTAGTTTTTCTGAAAAAACACCTGCATCAAGACTACTACAAACACCCCTTCACCATTCAGCCCAGCCTCGTCGCTGGGGAACTCAGCTTCTGTCGGGTAAGGCCTGGAGGTTGGAAAGAACAGGCGATGTCGGAGGTTTTCATTGCGACATCATCTATAAATGGACGATTTTCGAGCCATGTTTGATTGCCAGAGGGTATGTCTATACTATATGTCTATAAAACAACCCAACATAGAGGAAACATCGTTGGAACAATTCGATTTTTTTTGGACATATGAGCCTGAATTAAATATAACCCAACTACCGTTTCTATCTTTTTGGGGATCACTATATATAGTGAATGAGATTTATTAAACAAAAAAACACAACTGGATGGCAACACCTCACACCAATGGACCATTTGATGCATTTTTTGAGGTGAAGAAATGATGCAATACCCAAGATCAATGGACGATTCATGGGAACATATCCATATATTGAGATGAGATGATCTTGTGATCTTTAATATTGGTACCATAAAATGAATACCCTATCCTTACTTCCCATTCATGAATTTTCCTACTAAAACCTCCCATGGCAGCTCCCATCTAGCCATATTTGATTCAATGACATGAAGAAAAAGTCATATGCATCTGGGTAAATTACAATATTTCACTAACCTGAATTAAGGCCATTTGGGGATTTTCCCTTATTAAGATTCCAGTGAGGTCGCAGTGAGGTCGTTGTAATTTACCCAGATGCATGATTTAACCCCGTCGGAAAACGCTCAAAAAGTCATAGCATGGACAAAAACCCCGGCACAAGGAGGTGCGCCCCAAACATGACATGTTTATTGGTTAACAAAGAGCCCATGAATACTGATACGATATATCACCAACAAAAACCATGTTCCAAACTACCAACAAGTTTATTTACATTTATGATCATAATAGCGGTTATAATAATACCAATAATAGTGGTTATATATCGTTATATGATAAGATCATATTATTCATCTGTGGTTGGTGGTATACCTACCCCTCTGAAAAATCATGGAGTTCGTCAGTTGGGATGATGAAATTCCCATATATTTTGGAAAGTCATAAAATTCCATGGTTCCAAACCACCAACCAGCTATAGATATATCACCGACAAAAACCATCGTGAAATTTGCATCTTGGACTTTTTTTTGGCACCAACTAAACGCGATTCCGACAACGGAATCGCACCACCTTGCAGGTGTCATATTAGAGTTACTGGGATATGAGTTACTACAGTGGATGGAAGAATTCCTGCACCAGTTAATAGGTGGTTGATCCCATGATTTATAGGTTTTCTATCATCCCAGGTGGTGCAGGTTTTTCCATCATCGTATCATCATTATATTAGGTATATCCATGTATACCACATACTTACATCTTGTCTCATCACATCATTTTCTAGTTAAATCATCTTAAATCTCTTGTCTCATCATTTTCTCGTCAAATCACCTGAAATACCTAATTTGAAGATAATTATGATAATCCCATAACTGAACTGATGACCCCATTATATCACCATTAAATGGGTATATCCCATGTGTATATAACCATAGTTATAGGGAGTTAGAATCCCATCTATAATTGTTACTGGCCATAACTCTAGTTCAATTACCGCACAAAAACCGATGTTTTTCATGTAAAATATCTCATACCTTTGGTATATTCCATTCCTGCAGCGATATCCTCTTTTTCCATGTAAACAGTTCCTTATTATACAGGTATATCAATAATATCTCCATGTTTTCCTATTCATAAATGGTATATCCCGATGAATACTCCCTAATTATATGGCTATAGCCCCATTACACTCTGGGAATTTATCAGTTTGCTATTGAAAATGTCCAATTTTCAGTTGATTTACCTATTTTAAAAAATGTGTTTTTCCATAGTTATGTTAGTTTACCAGAGGTATATAAATCAATAACATACAAATTGCTTCCTATTAATAAATGGTACATTTTCCTATTATACAGGTACATCCCTATTCAGCTGGCTATAAAACTCATATTGTCCTATTAATAAATGGTATATCCCTATTACTATTTCTATGTCTCTATTTCCATGTGAACAAATCCTTATTATATGGCTATATACTATATCCATATTCAAAAATCCAATTTATAGTTGATTTACCTATTAAACAAATGTGATTTCCATGGCTTCTGGTTTCCTATTAATAAATGGGACATTTCCCTTATAATATCCCCAGCCCCATTAATACATAACCATCTGGTTGGTGGTTTCAACCCCTCTGAAACATATTAGTCAGTTGCGATTATTGTTCCCAATGTATGGAAAAATAAAATTCATGTTCCAAACCTTCAACCAGCCATTTTTGTCCTCCCCAAAATCGCGGAACGGCTCCGAAAGGACGTCCGCGCCTTCCGAAGCAGTTGCGCGGCCATCTGCGCTTGGTCCGCCTGCCGGCGAGGGGTCTGCGAAAAATGAAAAATCTTATGCTGATCATTTAATGATGATTCAATGGGATTTAATGGTGAAAATGGTAATTGAATGTGATTTAATGGCGATCTATCTAATGGGGTTTTATGATGTTAATGTGATTTAATAGAGTGTCAATAGTGACGTGGTTTGGGATTTATGATGTTTAAATCTTTGACTCTAAGTGCAATGAAAAAATGTCTGATGATTTAAAATGTGATTTTATAGTGATGTGACAATGTCGTTTGGAACATTAAAGTTGATCAACATGATTTGAAATGGTGATTTTTTACGCGGGTGTCACCAAGAAACATTGGAGAAAATGGCACAGACCGGATGTAATGTCCGAACATGGAAGATTCAGCGGCACAAAAACAAACCAACTAACCAAATCGCCCTCGCTTTCCATATGGGTATGTTTGAACATTTCGAGAAAACCCCCTTAAACCACTAGTTCATCATCATTTTCCCGAGTAAATTGCAATTTTTATGCTTTGTTTCCATATTTTTTCATTTTAACTGCCATATTTAAGTCGGATTTTCCATGTTTTCTCCATCCCATTTTCAAGGAATCGTTGCCCGCCTTGACACACGCAGAGATGCAAAGATTCACCACCGAGGTGTCACCGAAGAGGACTCTCTGCATCTCCTCATGACCGCGGTGAAAAAAACATATGGGATCTGGTTGGTTTATTCCTCCAATAACCATGGTTTATAGCAGGGTTAATAAGGTAGATATTAATGTCACTAGGCTACTACAATTTTGCTATGGTTGATAATCATGTTTTTATAATAACTATTGCTCAGTGCTCCAAAAACTATGGATAACAATGAATATTCACGGTCGATACGTTTATGGTTACTATGGCTTACCCCGCAGTTATAGGCCAACAGCCAATTGTAACCAGCTGAAAAAGACTCGTTTAAGTCATATAATCATATATATATAAATATATATATATACACACGTGTAGTTGCAGTCGCAATTATAGTTATAATGTCAACCCTTGATTCATAAACCACTAGGCTGTTTTAATTTGAAATACCATTGAAGTATCGTATTATCACCATTTGGGGGGTACCCTCATAGTTAACAAACCAAGGTTTATTAGTCCAAGGGTGACATTCTCCTAAGTGGTTGTGGGGTTTACATCATCTAGTTCTGAGAGGTTTGTATTCATCTGAAATCTTCTTCAAAACATTTCTGGGATTTTTCCAGGGTCTGGAAAATATGGCTCATTTGGGTGATCAGTGGTTACTAAGGCCAAAAACTGGCCAGAATTGGTAATTTGCTGTTAATGGTTCATAACTAAGTTATAAGTTGGTTCATAAATCCATTGAACCATTGATTCATCCACCGCCCCAAAGCGCGCAAGCTGGTGCCCCATAGATAGCCAAGTTGGTTTGTCGCCCGACGTTCCTTCTCAGCAGCTTCCTCTGGCGTTGGTTCTTCTGCCAGAGGAGCTGCCAATGGTGAGCATCACCGGAACCATCTCCGACTTCATCAACGTTTTTCTCATCTGCTCATCTGTAGAGTTCCAGCTTGACGCACTTGATACACTTGAGGACTCCACGTCCGGGCTATCATCCCTATCCTCATTTACATCAACTCTGTATCCTTTCTCAGGATCAATCCTTGGGCCTTTCAAAATGAAGAATGATCCCCCTTCCTCATCATTGTCTGCTGGCCTTGGTGACTTCGAAGGTGAAGGGAGCTCTGTCGGAACCTCTGTTGGTGATTCCGGCCTCGGGGTGTCTTCCTCCAAAGGAGAAGGCGACGAAGGGACCTCTGTCCGATTCTCTCCAGTAACCAACATGATATATCATAAACATGATAAATAATACCATGATATATCAAAAACATGGTTAGATACTGTATAGCCACTTCGTAAGTTTATGGCAGATATATCACGATATATCGAACTATACCATCTGGTTATTTAACAGTTAGCCATGGAAAGATCCACCATTTTTAAGAACGGTAAACAATCTATTTCTATGGGCCATCTATACCATGGCTATGTTAAATTACCAGATGGTATAGACATATTAATATATGTTCCATAATATATGGGTTGTCATCCTTCCCATTGACTTTCATATTTTTCAGAGGGGTTGAAACCACCAAATAACCATATAGATATATTTTCCATTTCATATATGGGATAACTACCATGTTAATATATTTTCCCATGGCTATTGGTATGTTTTGTAAACCAAACTAAACCGCTGGGCGGCAGCATCGAACGGTTACTCGGAGCATGGTCTTTGTTCTCCGGTTCCATTTTTGGTTCGATCATCGTGGGTTATATAGTGCGAGGTCTCCCAAAAATGGATGTGAAGAGATGTGTTAGAATTACATGTGGTTTATAAATTTCGATTTTCATATCTAACGCTGGAAGATGTGGTAAATCAATTTCGATTTTTATAACTGTTCGAATTCTAAGTCATATGGTTTTTGTCGTTATGAGGAAATAATATGCTTCTTCGATGGTTTATATCTGGGACACGTACGCTTGGAATCTGTGCAATCCCATGTTCGGTCATGTTCTGTCTCGCTATACACCCGGATGGTTTGGCTGAACATCGGGACCGATATTGTTGGCATCATAGTAAACTATGGATAAGAACCATAGTATCTATATATTATTACCATGGTTTATGTTACTACAGATATTATGTTTATAAACCCGTTGTTTACTACACACTCCCCATCAAAAAAAACACATTTTTTCCGGGCGATCTGACCCATTTTCAGACCATCCCTGGTGTCGGTGGTGTCCTCCAAGGTGGATTTCTTCCCTACGAGCTGCGAATTTATAAGTGGCGCAATTGAAAACCATAGCAGCCATAGTAAGTTGCTTATAATTTGGGTACAAACCATAGTGAATTTTTGATATATCTACCATAAACCCAAGAATGGCCACCTTGAATGTAATTATATGTAATTATGTAGACAGCACTGCAGCACCTTGAATGGCCACACCGGACGATGATTATTTGTTCCGTCCTCCAAGATTCCCAATGCATGTTGCCACTGAGCGCATCTCTCACACGCCTTGGTGTCAAATCGAAGCCCAGGAATTGCGTGTTCTTAGCAATTTGGGATACCAATCCAACTAGTTCTTTTAAGTTATGACCAAATCGCTAAGAAACTAACTTAACTTAATTTGATTGGTATATCCAATCGGATTAATAGAATTAAGTTATGACCATAGGATGTACTTAATTAACTTAATTCTATTTGTGGGTCAAAAGCTACCCTATTTTTGGGGAGCTATTCACATCAGTAAATTTTGGCTATTTTCAGATCAACAGAATGGAATGTGCCAACTTGCGAAACTGCATGAACTTGAAGCAACCAGGGCGCAGCACCTTGGTTCTTGAAATCCAGGTTCCACAGCGTGCAGCCATGCAAACAAAGCCACTGAGCTGGATAGCCCAAGAATCTCCATCTTCAACTGCATTCCGCTGGGGCCCAACGTGAGTTGGGACTTAACCCACGACAGCTGTTGACAACATCCAACGGTCCCATCTGTTGCTTGGTGGAGCTTCTAACCCGTGAAGCGAATAAGCAAGAAAGGGGGGGTTGCTGTTCCAGTCATGGGCTAAATTGAAGATATCTATAGATATCTCTGAACCCACAAGAAAAATACCGTGATGCTAAATCAAACCTATAGAAACCTATATAAGTCTATATATATGTTCATTAAGCCTTGTTTTTTTTCAGTGCGCCGAAATCCGAATCTTGGTCAAGCTTGGTCGAAATGGCATGATTTACTACTTCAAAGGTGCAGATCATGGCTGGGCTCATGACATCTTGACATATTGGCAGGTCCAACATCCAAAAACTGCTCCCTCAAGTGTCTGGCAGTTTATCCATTCTAACCATTGTTAGTTGGCTATATCCTCATTATACCCCCATAAAATATCAAAGGTAATCTGGGTGGTGGTGCAATAACCATCTTGAAAAATATGAGTTCGTCAGCTGGCAAGGATGACATCCCATATATGAAATGGAAAATAAAAATCATGTTCCAAACCATCAACCAGTGATTATTAACCATGATTAGCCATCATGAACCATCATTACCCCATACTAAACCAATGTTCCTGGCAGTGTCTGGCAGCCTCGGCCTTGCTGATGATCAAAGGTCTTAATCTTTTCCTTATGATTCTGTTCGTATGTTTTGGCAAATCGGACCATCATCAAACAACTAAGATCTAGGCCGGGCAATTGAGGGACACGTGCTCAAACTGTAATAAACAGGCCAATTAACATTACACAACATTACCCTTGTGTAGTCCAACATGACAATTTTATAGGATATATCTACTGGTTGGTGGTTGAGCCACCCCTCTGAAAAATATGAGTTCCTCAGTTGGGATTGTTATTCCCAACTGAATGGAAAAAAATGAAATTCATGTTCCAAACCACCAACCAGTTTAGATCTATATTCCATCATATTCCATCCCAACTGGGTATTGTTCCAAACCACCAACAAGTCTATATGTTTTCATCAAACAGTATAACACATGGCATTTTCCGCAAAGGAAGCGCATCAGATTTCCATCCCAGGAAGCGCAGCGCGCAGCTGGGGGTTTCCATCCCAGCATGGGGTTACCCAAATGGATGGTTTACTCGGGGTAGCCCTGTTTTAGGAAACCTCCATTAATGTATAATGTTAATATATCTGTAGATACTATGATATGGTATTGTGGTTTATGGTATTGTTTCACCCACTAAAATTCACGAAGCGCGTGCGCTTCGATCACACACAAATCTCGACAGAAAGCGATGAGCCTCAATCCGAATCATCCCCATATCTTGGGCAAAACCTCTTCTGGTTGGTGTTTTTTCGCCAACCCTCTGAAAAATCATGGAGTTCGTCAGTTAGGATGATGAAATTCTCAAGTGAATGGAAAAATAACATGTTCCAAACCACCAAACAGCTCTTTTGTTTATGTTCAATCCCTCATTAGGACTATTTCCATTGGTAAAATACCCGATATAACCAGGAAATTCTTCTATGGGCAAGAAAGAACCAATTTTGGAACATACCGATTTCTTGGGTCAATTTTCCAATCTTTTCTGCGTTGCCAAGAAAATCGATACACTGCAAGAGACGATTATTGTTGCTCAATATGTTTATATATTTCCTCTATCCGTGGCAAACAAATCATAAAAACATCTCCACCGGTTACCGGTTCGCCGGCTGCTTTAACTCCAAAACCATATAATCTGCACTTAATGATTATTGGTATTAAACATGTCAAACAATAGTTATTGAGACCATACAATCTTGAATGATACGGTTTTAACACAATCTTTCTGAATCACTTTGAGCTAACAATTCACACCAAATGAAATTCAACATAAATCAGAATACCATTCAGAATTAAACATGTGGTAAACCTAATGACATAAACCTACCATTTGGGGATAGTTCTAACCCATAAAAAGGCTGATTTTTCTGATATTTAGGGGATGGTTTATTGTTCAACTCCAACCATATCCCAGGCTGTCGCCCTGTGCCAGGTTACGCTGATGGCAGAGCTGAAGGTCAACAGCGTCTTCTGCGGAGCCAGCTGTAGCAGCCGCAGTGGCACCTGCGACTTTCGACTCTCGGGGTAGTGCAAGGCTTGCAAAGTGTGGTTGAAAAAATCTGCAAACATGGTTGATTTTGTGAAACAAACGATGATAATCATGGATTTGCAGCTGAACTGCAGATTGGGATGAGAAAGTTGTTTTATGAATTATGGTTTATAACTAGGTGAAACATAACTTTCGTTGTTTTATGGTTAAACCAAAGTTGTTTTATGTTGGTTTATAACTAGGTGAAATTTCGTCTGGTTTAACACATCCAGAACACTGTGGAGCTGTAGGGATTGAACTGGGGATTGGGATGAGAAACTGGGGATCTATGCTGGTTTAGAACCAGGTGAAGTTTGGTCTATTGTAGATCTATTGAGCTAGTCAAAGGGTCGATAACTCAAGTAGTGGTTGGGGGGCACCATCTCGCAGAGAAAATCGGTATTTAGCCAAGAACAAATCGTAAACTTCTAGGGTTTAATAAGTTTCATCAACAAACAGGCTAGGTTGGCTTACGCAAAACAAAGGATATCTAACCAACAAATACCAACCACCAACTTGGTGATTTGAATACATGTTACCCTCCAGTAAATTAACATAGACCCTGCCAGTCATCAAGGTTGGAAGATTATATAGTTTCCACACACAAGAGCAATCACTGCCGATTTTCTCCGGACCCATGCATGTGCGGCGCGAATGCGCCTTAGCTAATGAACAGTAACACGCTCTGCATCACCATCACAGGCCTCTCGCCATTCGTCTTCCTTTCATAGGTGCTGGAATTGATGCGAGCGATAGAGAACGTCGTCCTCGTGCTTCCAGTAGGGTACATGAATAGCCTATTCGCAGGGTATAACACCTCAGGAACACCCTGGCCTTCATCAAGAATCAGCAGCTTCTGGCCATTCTCGATGTACTCTTTCAACAAACCTTCCAAGCAATCAATCACTTGCTCGTCCATACCGGCAAAATCGCCTTTCAAAAACACAAACAATGGTTCGAAGAACCAAGTCGCAAAAGCGCAAAAGTGCAGTTCGCTCCAGACGAGGAAATAATCCAAGTTCAGTCAGGGGCCCCTCGTCACAAGGGCTGACCTGAAGCGCGAAAGATAACCCACCTGCCGTATGTGGCACGAGCAAGCGGGAATGGTGTGACGATAGGTGATTTTCAGGGTCTATGTCAATTTACCAGAGGGTATATATACTGGGATGAATAGGTTTATCTGAAAGTGGGGATGCCTCAATTGAGTGAGAAAAACGCACACCATCAATGGCCATTTCAGGAACCGATTTATTGGAGGTACCGATTCCATATGTTTTTGGCCTATTTTTCAGGCCTATTTTTGAGGGAATATCTCCACAAAATATGGCCAGAAATATGGTACATTTACGTACATCCATTTTAGGATCCTGAAATTCCCATTGAACTTAGCAGAAAAGTGATGATTTGATGATTTTTCAGAGATTCTGTGGGATTTAATGGAAATTGATGGGATCTTAGTTCGCTGTTAGAAGCCAAAGGCTCTATGTCAATATATTGAAACCATGGGATTTCGTTTCTTTTTCAGAAATGGACTTAAATCCATCGACGGGAATGAACCCGCAAAACGTTGCATGCCAATATATGCCATAGTTTGTTCAGTGGATCAGCCCCACCTGTCCGAAACAAACAAGGATGAAACCTACTTACCAACTAGGATGAACCACGAGTACAATACATATATGTATATATACGTATATACATACAAATATACAAAACAACTTTACGAACTGAACTGTATGCCTGACAAGGGACACCAACAGGGGTTCTTAAATGGCTATGAAACTGGTGAAATGGAGGGATCCCCAAAACCATCGGCTTCAATACTGAAATGGTGCCATTTTTGGTTGATTTGGGGGTACTCCCATGACTTAGGAAACCTACATTTCAAGATTAGTATATAATATCTATGACTCTATGGTTATAAATTGATTATCCCACGTAATGCTTATAACATGGCAAAAATCCGGGGCACGGTGCGGGGCAGCGAGGGTGGCACGGTCAGGGGCTGGAGATCAAAAAAGTAGGACATCTGGTGCTTGGGATAGCTCACTAGCGCGGTCTAATGCATGTCACAACTTGGAGATGATCCCTGGGTAGTGTTGAAGTACATCCTGGCAGAAGTTACTACCCAGGTACTACCCAGGAATCGACCTGACAGTTGCGCCAAGCATTATAGACGCCAAACCGTTTCGGTGACACTTACGATAAGCATTATAATTCTGCAATGCTTAGCATAACTGTTCCAGGATTCCTGGGTAGTACCTGGGCAGTGTCTGGGTAGTCCTGGGAAGTCCTGGGCAATCCTGGGCGGTTCTGGGTTAAGAATCTGATAGCCGAACCCCTTATGGTCAAAGGAACCCAAACTTGGACATTGCAAAAGTCAAATTCTATTTCCACAGCACTTTAGTTCCAGAACCATGAAAGAACATAGAATTAGCGCCCAGGAACCCAGAATTAGCGCCCAGGAACCCAGAATATGATTTTCACGTTATAAGCATTACATGGGTCAATCAAGTTATAAACGGTACATCTATCAATGGACTAGTTTAAGGGAAAATCTTAACTGGATACCATCGATTTTCCATTATTTTATGGGGCTTTACGGTTAAACATTTTCCCAACAAAACCAATCCATGGAATCTATGGCTATCCAAGATACAATGTGAGGCCCCCAGTCGATAGCGTTCAGTTGGTGCAAAAAACTCCAATTTCACTATGGTTTATGGTACTTATAACTATAGTTACTGGGGCGAATCGAAACCAACAAACATCACTGGGGGGCCTCACATTGGCTATCTTAGCCCGGCAACTTTCCCCACGATCCCTTGGAGATACCTGCCATTCATGGCCGTTGGCGCAGGCTGAAATGGTTGCCTCAGGAGCAACGGATGGTGTTCATCCAAACACATCTGGTTGGTGGTTGAGCCACCCCTCTAAAAAATGTGAAAGTCAAATGGGATAAACATGTTCCCAATATATGGAAAAATAAACATATATAAACATGAACACTGAGGGTTTGAGCATGAACACATCACTGGTTGGTGGTTCTCTTGCACTTTTTCACCAGATCACCACTGAGAATTGCTGCGAGATGTTCGAGATCCATTTCGTTAAGCATACTATTGTTATCTTTGCTCAAAATTCACAATGTCACTTTGAACACATTCTTGGCATTCACATAAAGAGAAACTAACTATTCACAAAACTGAATTTATTCCCTTGTCGGCTTCCTTTGTTTAGCAAAGCAAACAAGAACATAAAAGCCTTCATCTAAAAAGCCGCTGCTTCTAGAAATCAACACATTCCAAAACAATCCCATTCCTTCTCAAACTAGAACTCAATAGGGTTCCACACAACAAGAACCATTCTATACCATTCTCTACACGGCACTGCTCAAGTGTTGAAATAATGCTTGAAAAGCGCTGCTTCTATATCTTGCATCAACCATCTTCTCACCTTGGCTTGGACTCTTACAGCCCAACCCAACCGTAGCTTTGTCAATGTGATTAAAATTTGAGACACTTCTCCTACAAGTCTCTAATACATGCTGTACTGTCACTCCTGCCCGTCAAAAACCAGGAAATCTCAAAGGGCTTCACCGGGATAGTCACAAAATCTAGTCACAAGAACCTCCACAAGATCTTCATACAGCTTCAAAATGGGCATCACGCCAACACAAATTAGAGATATGTCCTCCCTTTCAATTTCCAGTGTTTTGCAAATCTAACACATCCAACATATGTTGCTTCTGGAAACCAAACACGTCGAACTTGAAACCAGTGCAGTTTCTTGTAGCTCATCGAAACCAGAACCAATACACCAAAATACTTGTTTAATCTTCAAGTGTTTACATTTCTTGCCGCACTGAACATCGTGTTCAAAACAACGCGCTTCAATAAACTCAACGCTTTTGCGCCAACCATCTTCTCACATTGACTTAGGCTGCAACTAATATTTGTCGTTCAGTACAATGGAAATTCAAGACACTCCTGACAAATCTTCTATTGCTGTGCTGTCACTATACTAAGCCTTACTAAGGCAATTTGAGTAGATAGCAAACAACATGGGTCATTAAATGTCCCCATTGAACATCACCCAACCATTAGGTATATGGTCTATAATGGCTACTATAAGGTGATGTCCAATATACCCAAAATGGGACAGTTACCAACCCCTGAACAAAAACGTCCAGTTTTTTCCCCAGAACTCCGAGCTTTTTGCCCAATATCCCAGTTGGTATCCCCCCAGAACCATGGTCATGGGAGTCCACCAACTTGGCGAAACTTGGAGCACCCAAGGTATGTGGTGCCCCCCAAACCTGAAATGTTTATTGGTTAACAAAAACCCCATGAATACTATAGATATATCACCTATAAACCATAGTTATTGAATACTATAGATATATCATGATATATCACCAACAAAAACCAACACGTGAAATTGGAGTTATGTTCACGCACCAACTGAACGCTATCGACTGGGGGCACCACCTTGTACCAGCATTCTGACTGCAAACCAGGGACATTGCATGCGATGGTCGAAAACTGCTGAGCGTCTCGTGCGGACATCAAGAGGTGCAAAGCCTGGCCCGCACCGGGAATCCATCGGAATCGATGCCCAGCGTTCCACCTAAGGTTTATTAATGGGGGATATCATGTGATATAACGAACTAGTATTCATGAGGTTTAACCAACACATATCATTGCAGTTTTATTATGGATATCCACTATTATCCACTATGAACCACTATGAACAGGGCCCCGAGGCCCCAACAAATCTCCCGCCTGTCTCCAATCGCTCTGTCGGCCGCAGGCGGAAATGCAGGCGGCGTAGGTCACAGCATTGGGAACAACACCTGTGGTGCCCAGTGGTGCCCGGTTGGGATGCCTGAGGATGAATGGGATGGATTTAATGGGCCTTTGCAAAGTTGGTGTTCAAAGAAAACGATGTGTAAACTCTATATCTAAACTCTATGGCTAACGTTGTAGATATGTAAAGCTTGATTTTTTTTTTTAATGGTGGTTAAAGTCCCATTCTCTTAGCTCAGCATCTGGGACTTGTTGATCCTATCCATCTGGGAAAATGGAACCGCCGTGCGTTGAAACTGGGATAAGACTGGGGATCAAACGCACGAGACAGGTCCAGACTAAGATTCTGCCGGCTCAAGTGCTTCTCTGCAGCTGCGTCGCTGAAACTCCGTTGAGTCTTTCCAGATGCCTGACGATCTTACAATGTGCCGGATTCTGGCTGCGTCTGTGCAGCCGCGACCTTGCAAGCACTGCGCCAGTAGCCCCATCACTTGCCGATGGGTTCCAACAAATGGCTGTGAGATCTCTGGGTCTCATGCCGCATACTCATGCCCTTCCAAGCTTTGAAAGAAAGGTGAGGTGTCCAATACTCCAAGCCTGTGGCAGATATTCAAGTTCACACCAATGTTCCAAGCGTGGCTGAAGAAAATCAATGACAGCTTCAGCACTCATGACCCAAAACATAATGGGATATAACTATAGCCAATGGGGATTTAATGGGATTAACGGGATTAACCATCATGGTAATATTGGTTAATGGGACATGACCAGCATGGGATTTGTCATGAATTATTAGGATTTCATGGGCATTTCATGGGATTTAACCAACCAACTTGATATCATATGTTGGCTTTGAAAATTCATAGGAACAGCCCTAAATCCACTGCTTCATCATGTGTTTGAAACTCGCCCATTTCTTTCTGACACAGCCATATATATATATATATATCGAGGTTTCAAAAAATCGAGGTACCCCCAAATCATCATCCAAGTCCTTAGTCCAGATATGGACGGAGAAAACCCCATCTCCATCCATTTTTGGTCGTGGTTCGCGATTCATCGCGCGATTTTACTTGGTGCCAACAAAAAATCCAATGTCACAACGTTGGGTTTATGGCAGATATATTTATATTCACTATGGTTTGTAACCAAAGTATCCCAGCAACTTACTGTGGCTGCTATGGTTTTTACTCAACAACTTATAGTTCGGGAGCAAAACCACGTCTTTGGAAGACATCTACCCTCTGGTAATTTAACATAGCTATGGAAAATCACCATTTTTAATGGGAAAACTCACTATAAATGGCAATTTTCAATAGCTTTTTGTATGTTTACCAGAGGGTACCCAAATTTATATCCCAGTGGATTTCTCGTCAACAGCTCAAAAAAAATGTCCTGCTGTCAACCTTTTAAATCCCACAGTGAACAGCGGTGGCTTCAAGTACATTGGTTATTCAATTGGTATATTAATATAACATTCATAACATTTATAGTCAATTATATATAGTCAATTAATCATTTATAGTAAATGTATTAATGACTAATATGTATATCATATAATAAATAACTTATAGTCATTTTATATCATTTATCGCTTAACCTACCGCAGCCCAGCTGCCCAGGTTCCACCTTGTTCCTCCATCTGCTCGAAGATTCGCAGCGCCATCTTCCACTGCTGATTCTTCTCACAGGTGGTAATGGCAGAGCTGTAGACCACCACATCTGGCAAAGCCAGGATCGAACAAAACCAGCTGAACTTGGTAGTTTGCCAACGAACATGGAGTTGCTGTTGGACTTAACGGACTCTAATGGTGATTTAATGGAATTTCATGGGGGTTTAATGGGGTTTCACGGGATTTTATGGAATTGATTTTGCAAAGTTCATGGAAAGAATTGGGATATCTGTTGGGTTTATGGTTTATGGCTGATATATCTAAAGCTAGATGGGCCAACAAAAACTTACATCTGAGGGACACTTTTTGTAATACCAATATGCACTACTTGCAACCAATGAGCTGAGTCGTTAATGCATGGTATCAAGGTCAGCGGGTAAACATCATATGACATAACCCAGTTGTATATGGAAGATATGCTTGTACTATCTGGCTTTCTACCACTTGTGATTTTTGGCATTCCCGAAGTACAGATCTATCCAGATAACCTGGCTGAAGCTCACCTGTCGACTTCTCAGTTCGACTTCTCACTTCGACCCATGCACGCAAAATCCCTATGGAATCCTCTAGCAAAACTATCCAGATTTGGGGAAAAAAAGGAAACCAGTTGCAGCAAAGTAGCTGACCCACTTACAGTACACCGGTCCCCAAGTGGCACCTGCTGAGATACGAAGAGCGCCTAAACCTGGTGGGTCGAGGGAAAATGGTGGCACAAATGGTGGCACAGGGGCGATGTCTTGGGATGTAGTGATGAATAGTGGTTATGAATGGTTAATATCCAGTACCAGTAGTACCGCACAAGGCGGTGGCGGAAATTTCAAAAATGGAAAACCTATAGGAGAGGTGAGTTGGTGTGACGCAAAAATGGCAGAGCGAACCCACTGATGGATTGAAAGGTGGTTGAGTGTTTCTCCCTTTCTGTCTCTCTTTCTCTCTTTCTCTCTGTGTCTCTCTTTCGCCATCTATCTACAGAGCTACCTTTCAAGCCATCTACCTATCTACCTGTCTATTCATGTATCTATCGATCGATTTGTTTATTCACCTATCTATTAAACTGTCTATCTTTCTGTCTATCCAGCCATTCATCCATCCACTTACTTCTCTCTGTTAGTTTTTTTTCCGTCCATCTCTTCATCGATCCATGTCCACAGCTATCCATCACCATGTTCTTCGTTCTGTTTCTCTATCGATTCATCCATGCATCTGTCCGTCTACCTCTTCTTCCAGCCATCCATCCATCTATCTAGCTACCCATGCGTTTATCTGGTCATCGACGCTTCCAGCGATCTGTCGATCTAGCGATCTATGTGTCCATCTGTCGATCCATCTACCTGTCATCGTTTTTGAAAATGCTACAAAACCCTCACGTTTTAGTCACTTTTCAGTGGATGCACAAACCACTCCACCTACGACACAAAATGACGTTTGAACGTCCAAAATGTCTCCGAGACCCTCAGTTTTTAACACTTTTTGACTTCGAAATGTGCTTCGCGCCACAACGCCGTGCACTTTTTCGACATCTCAACTTCCAAAAGTGCTCCGAGACCGCCAGTTTTTAACACTTTTGACTTCGAAATGTGCTTCGCGCCACAACGCCGTGCACTTTTTCGACATCTCAACTTCCAAAAGGAAGTGCTCCGAGACCGCCAGTTTTTAACACTTTTTACTTCCAAATGTGCTTCGCGCCACAACGCCGTGCACTTTTTCGTCATCTCAACTTCCAAAGCTGCTCCGAACCCCTCAGTTTTTAACACATTTTACTTCCAAATGTGCTTCGCGCCACAACGCCATGCACTTTTTCAACATCTCAACTTCCAAAAGTGGTCTGGCGCTGAGGTGTTTTGTACCTTTTCACTTCGAAATCGGCTTCGCGCCACAACGGCGTGCAACTTTTCATCTCTCATCTCCCCAGATGTCTCCGCACCCGCCACTTTAGCCAGCCTACTTTTCGACCCTCCGGAGCCACAAAACCACGAAAAAAAACACAATGTTTCGCGACTTTCCTACCTTTTCGCGCACCTGCATCTTCTTTCTTCTGATCTTTTCTCTTCTGACTCTTCTCCCTGCTGACTGCTTTTTCATCTCTCCATATTGTCGGAAGTTTGACTTCTAAACTTCCTTCGATTAATGGTGGTATTCTATATAGAAAAACAAATGGTGGTATTAATGGCTTATAGTAAAAACAAATGGTTTATAGTAAAAACACATGGTGGTATTGGTGGTATTCTGTGGACATATCATGGAATATGCAGATATTAATGGAATATTGGTTGATATACCCTCTGGTGTCATCAGCTACATGGCTGGGAAAATCACTATCCAGCAGGCCACCTTTGAAGCCCCACCTTTTTGGGTGTCAGGTTGAAGAACTTCCTCAAAATATATGCCATGGACATGGGATGATTCTCCGAGAATCATTTACGGACAGGGCCTTGTGAGGTCGTTGGTCACATCGAACTTACCAGGATGTCAATGCCAAAACCAACGTGTTACTGCATGCAAGGCGGTGTGCATGATCAGCAATATTCCATTAATATCCCATGCATATTCCATGATATGTCCATAGAATACCACCAATACCACCATTTGTTCTTACTCAATACTGGATATTAACGATTCATAACCACTATTCATCAACAACCCAGCACTAGAAATCTTTTTCCAATTTTGGGTACCCGCCCACTGCATCCCCATCAGGGCGCTTGGACGTTGAACATCGCCACCAGGTGAGCTTTTTCAAACATACCCGGCCTGGTAAACGTTACAAAAAACGATGGAAAATCACATTTTTAATGGGAAGACTCACTATTTCTATGGCCATTTTCAATAGCGAACTGTTAGTTTACCAGAGGGTATATTCCATTAAGTGGATTATAATCCCATTCAACCCCATTAAACCCAATTAAACCCCATTAAATCCCATTACCAGAGGGTATTATCCCATTACCAGAGGGCATCACTTGATTTTTTTTTTAACCACAAGCAAAAAGGTCCTGCAAGGAACTCTGCTTCACCTCTGCGCACTGAACGCAGTGTCGTTTCATGGAGTCTTTGGCACCAACTTCCGATCGCTTTCCAGCATTTTTTAAAATTATCTTTTGAATTCACTCAAATCCCATTAAATCACTATAAAATCCTATTAAATCAAAAGAAAGATCAGAACTTTTATCCATGATTGTTGTTTTTTTCGTACCAAAGTTAGCTACCCTCTGGTAAACAAACAGTTCGCTATTGAAAATGGCCCAGTCGAAATAGTGGATTTTCTCATTAAAAATTGGTGATTTTCCATGGTTACGTAAATGTTTACCAGGCCGGGTATATCTCACCACGGTTCCCGGCATTTCCACCGTGTGAAAAGTTTCACCGTTTCACCGTGCCTTGCAGAAGTGCCAGCGCCAATGGCCACTGCCCCGCGTGTTCGCAGGCGCGAATGGCTGCCGCGGCGCTGAACCCATCAGGCTGCAGGGGACCTGCTGCAAAGAAGCGCAAAGAAATGACGCGTTGGACCAGGGATGACCCGGAATATATAGATAGGATACATATATCTGGGTAAATTATCATATTTCACTAGCCTGAATCTTGCGGCCATTTGGGGATGATTTCCCTTTCTAACTATGATTTCCAGTGAGGGAGACCAGTGAGGTCGTTATAATTTACCCAGAAATATATATATATGGGATCCATGGTGCTGGTATGTATGCTAACATAAATGGGGTATATTGATGGGATCTATGTTCCCATTAATATAGCAGCACCATGGATCCTATGGGATATATATATATGGGATACATATGCATATATACGGCAAACGCCTGGTCTTTGCCCCGAACCGCAACAACGACGGGCAACGCATCATCATCATCATCATCATCATGATCATCATCATCACCTGAATGTAGGTTTTTAAAATTTCCCAATACCTTTGTTGATCTTACCACTTGAATGTAAAGTTTAATGGGGGTGGTATTTGAATATTTCTGAATACCTTTGTTGATCTTCCCAACTGAATGTAAAGTTTAATGGGGGTGTTTTTCATAGTTCCTAATACCTTTGTTGATCTTCCCAATTGAATGTAGAGTTTAACGGGGGTGGGATTTGAATATTCCCTAATGCCTTGGTAATGCCTTGGTGGATCTTCCCAATTGAATGTCAAGTTTAACGGAGGTGGGATTGTAATATTCCGTGTTACCTTTGTTGATCTATCCAATGGAATGTAGAGTTTAACGGGGTCGGATTCGAATATTCCCTAATAGCTTTGTTGATCTTCCCAATTGAAGGTAAAGTTGCAACAACACTTGATTGGGAATGGAAACCCTCTACGCTGCGACGCTGGGGCAAAGCCCAGGCGTTGTGCATATATATATATATATATAGATATACTATGATTAATAATCTCCATTAACTATACTTAACAAGTTATTGTACTATAAGTATCATCAACTATACATGTATCATAGGAAATATTCCAGATGTAGCTAGGTCAAGTGATTAAGAAGTCGTTGAGGTTGGAAGATGGTGGTTGTTGGGTAAGTAGGTTTGTGTCACAAGATAAACTGCTGGTTTGATGGTAATGAAATAACCATAGTTTGGTGGGGTAACCTAAACCAACAGACAGAACCAGGGGTCACATCAATCGGAAGTGGTTTATAATCCAATATGTAAGCCATAGATACTTGGGGATATCTCCAATAGTGTCCTTTTGTTAAAAAATAGAGGGGCCGGTTTGGTATGCCATCTCTCATCATAGAAACATGTTGTTAAAGGGGTAAACAAACCCCTCTATTGATCAACATATGATAGTTTATACCCTCTGGTTATTTGACATAGCCATGGAAAATGGCCCATTTATAGATGATTTTCCCAGCTATAAACCTCCATTTATAAGGGATTGTCCATGGCTATGTTAGTCACAGTCAGATGGTATATATAAGTAAGTGGTGTATAAACCTCTATGATATCCCCTACATCAAAGCAAAGGATTTCTTGGGTCCTACCCTCTGGTTATTTAACATAGCCATGGAAAATGGCCCATTTATAGATGGTTTACATTTAAAACATGGTGATTTTCCATCGCTATGTTAAATAACCTGATGGTATTTTTGTTTGACAAAATAGAGGTTTTACAGGGGATACCCTCTGGTAACGTTACAAAAAAAAATCTGGAAAATCTAAATCACTCATAAACAGGCAATGTTCAATAGCAAACTGTTAGTTTACCAGAAGGTAATGAGAAAATCATCTAATATCATCAATAAATTCTATACGTGTGAAATTTAACTTGCCATGTTTAATTGCCGGAGAGTATCGTCTTCATAAAGTGGAGGTCCACATTCTCCATGGGTAGCTTTTTCCATCGAGTCACCAGTCACTCAAGCAAAACCCTGTAAGGTGAGCCCCCCCCGGGCCATAGCTAACTCGGTAAACAGAGCTATAAACTACAGGGCACATATATGGGGGTTTCCATAAATGGGGGTACTCCAAGATGGATGGTTTGTACTGGAAAATCTTATTAGAAGGGATGATTTGGAGGTATCCTTATTTTAGGAAACCTCCATATAAATAAATAAATATATATATATATATTGTATATATTTGTAGATACTATGATGTGATTTTTAGATAAACCCCATTAACTATACTTATAAGATACTAAAGGGTATTATAAGATATTAAAAGATATTATAAAATATCATAAGATATTAAAAGTATCATAAACTAGAGTTGATGGGGTTTATAAACCAACGTACCTACCTTTGGGCCCCCCAGAAATTGTATGTTGGGGCCATCTTCTTCTCAGGAGACGATGGGGCCTTTTTTAGGTGCCCAATCTGAAGTACTAAGACAACATGGGATATATATATATATATGGAGGTATTCCGGGATATCATCAGAAATGAAAGGAATATCTTGCCTGAATAGGACATGTCTCATCCATTTTTTGTCCGTGAAAATAGGCCAGTAGCACCCCATTAAGAAGTAATTCACCAACGTTGAAAGCATGTTGAAGCCGCTATTCACTGAGATTAGAACCATCCAATCGCGTATTAAGGGTAGCTTATCCAAACATAATCCCATTAAATCCAATGAAGTCGCACGACCAATAAATTACAAATTGGGGAATATCCCCATGGAGTCACTAAGATTCCCAACTCCTATTCTTATCTGGTTGGTGGTTTCAACTCTGAAAAATATCAGTCAATGGGAAGGATTATCCCATTTATTATGGAAAATCAACAATGTTTGAAACCACCAACCAGATGGGGATTTGATGGGGGTGTCAATGAGGATATGATGGGGATATTATAGTGGTCATATCCCCATCAATACAAAAAATAAATATACATCATTATATTTCCATTGCTTCCATTAAATCAGAATTAAGTCCCATGCAACCAGCAGTAAACCACCATGAAATCCCCGTAAAATCACCCAAAAAAGCTCCTTTAAATCCCAGCAAAACCCTATTTAATCACATGAAACCACCATAAATCCCATTAAACCACCGTAGAATTCACAATGAAATCTCCCATTTTTTCAGGGGGCCAGGCCACCCCGAAAAACCATGGGAGCCCACCATCGCAGAGCTTGCGCAGCCAGTGCAGCGCCAAGGCCCAATGACTGCAGCAAAAGTGGTACTTAGATGGACCATCGTTTTATTGGGGAAAAATGCGGGGAAATGATGTTTTATAGTTGATCTACCAACCAACAAATGGTGATTTGATGGAGATTTAACCACTTTAAATCGTGATTTCGTGGAGATTTACTATCTAGTAAGCTAACAGTTTGCGAACTGGAAAATGGCCCATAGAAATAGTTGATTTACCTATCAAGATAGTGATTTTCCATAGCGAACTGTTAGTTTACCAGAAGGTAACTACTTAGTAAATGGATTTGTTGACTGCTTGGTAAATGGTAAATGGGCCATATTGTGCATATCTCAATGGAATTCAAATGTCAATATTACGGACAAATCATGGTAGATATCGGTTGAATCATGTTTTTTTGGTGATTTTTTTCAAGCAACAGTGGGCATCTAGATGGGAATACATAGGAGTTCATCAACATGCTGCAGGGTGGTGCACCAGTTTCTTAGCTAAGTTGGTGTCACAAAATAAACTGTTGGGTTTGTGGTGGTAGAACAACCGCAGCTGGAGGGGCACCTGCCTGTAATGGTTGGGAGCATTGTTGTTCAATCGAGGGTTTTCTATTTCAATGACAACTACCTTAATTTGATTTGTGAGTATAGAACAAAACAAATCGGGTAGAACAAAACTGAGGCTAGAAAAAAACAATAGATGGGGTATATAAACAATGAACGAAGGTAAAACCACATGGAAGTGGCGGAAAAGCTGTTTGTGCGTTGGCTTTCCCAATGGAGGGGAAACCCTGGGGGGAAATCCCTGGAGTTTTGGGGTTTCTGAAGAACTAGCATGAAACAACCAATTCCTCTTGACAATTACCATTGTGAAGAGTTTCCGATCATTCCCAAAAGTGACCCTCCCAATAAGAAGAAGTGCTTGCCGAGGGCTTGTTCATACGCAAGGTGACCATTGCATGTATTCCTGATCTTCTAGCTGGCAAAGAGGCAAACAATGTGAAATTCTGATCGAAAACGATGGTGTTTATCCCAAAAAATTGCCATGAACTATGGCCATGTGTTTTTTCCCGGTGAATCATCTACAAAAGGCTGCCTGCCTACGGACAATTTTCATCCATAGAAAGTTTCCTCATTAAACAAAACAAGTCACAGTGGATTCTAATATTATTCAAAAAAAGGTTAGGGTCTAGATCCAGTTGGGCTTTAGTTACATAAGGTGTCGTAAATTCAACCCCTCAGCTGTTTAAATCTTTACTTACGTATGGCATAACTATGTTTAATCACAGGAATGTCATCAACAATAAGGGATGCAACACTGCAAGAATAGTTTCATATAGTTTCCCTATTCCAGAGCATGGTTCTTCTGTCACCTACCTTTCCAAAATGCCAGGTGACCTACCTACCTTTGCTAAGGTACCCTCTGGTAATTTGTTACATAACTATGGAAAATCACCATTGAAATAGTGAATTTTACCATGAAAAATTGTGATTTTCCATAGTTTTTTTGTCACGTTTACCAAGGAGGGTCAACAGAAAAACAGGTCAACATTGGGGCATCCCCCGTTCCATTTTCCCCAACGCGCCCGCGACGCCGCGACGCCGCGACGCCGCGACGGCTCTGCCCGCAACGGCGAGAGGAATCGACCGTGGTGCCCCAGTTCTGTAAATCAAAAGCCATTGGAGTAAACTAACTAGTTAGGCTAATCAATAACCAACTAGTAGGTAAGTAAACCAACGTCAACCAACCATCAGTTGTTGATGAGTAAACCAACTATATAGTTAGGATACATCGAGCTAGGCAACTTAGCCACGAATTGCTCACGGCACCACAGAAGCTAATGGGGCTGGAGCATCAAACTCAAGCATTCTTGCATTTCGAAACAAAGAGACCTGGCCGGGCCCCAGAGAGCGGCAACCATTTTTTGGATATTGAAAAGTATGTTATTGAAAATTAATAACCACAACAAAAATGAACAAATCTGAGTTTCAACTAATCTCAATAAGACACCATATGAGCAATGTTTGAAACCTGCGTCGTCCCTTATACTGGCTGGTTAATAAGATTTCCCAGTTCATCGATGAATCGATGATGATACTCCCAAATGTACTGGGTAGTATAACCCTGAACAAATCATCATCCCTGCCAGCTGGTTATTTAGCAGCCACTGCTCATTCATATGAACGCGAATCTTAACCCAGTACTCAGGTAATTACAAGTATATCCCATAGTTTATCTCCCATTAGAGCATCATTCTTCCTAGTTAAATTCATCTTAAGCCCCTATATTCCACAGTTATATCCAATGATATCATCATGTTTCCGCATGTTAAACCTATATTGACTAACATACACATATGTATACATATATATATATATATGTATATTGATGTTTCCTACAATGGAGGTACCCCTAAATCATCCCTCTTAGTTTGGGATTTTCATTTTTTTGAACTATCCAGCTATTGGGGTATCTGTGACTATGGGACCACCCCATATATTTCACGGCTAATTTTCCGCATGTTAAACCTATATTGACAATTTTTAATTAACAACACGCACATATATATATATATATATACATATAATATATATCTATATATCTCTATATATACCAGTAGTCAGGTTTATATCCCGTAGTTACATATATATATATATATATACCCCATTGTAACATCATTTTTCCGACTTAACTCACATTAAACCATAACCCACCAAATACCACCATCTCAACCCAGTATTTTTCGTTGCGCCTGCCCTTGTCCTCCAACAGCTGCAACGTGGGTCGACCCGCCACCGTTGTGGACACTTTCGAAGCTTGGGCGTTGGCCACGGCCAAGCTGTGCGCCAAGGTGTCCCAAGACTTGGAAAGTGATGAACGCTGCGGATTTGATGGTGGGTTTCGGGGTGGTTTTAATGGGCATTGTGTGGTAATTTGCTGGTTATTCTATGGCGGTAATTTTATGGTAATTCTATGCGTTCTTTTTTTTAAGGGTGGTTTTATGGTAATTTACTGGGGCATAGAATATAGAATAATTGTGGTAAATCTAGAAGTACACACACAAACAAAATTTGGCCTCTTGTGGCAAAGATTCACCACTTATAGGTTGGAGCAACGTCCAGCATGAACAAAAACCATTGAGTCACCATTAGATCAACATCTTCATGATTTATCATGACTTTGGACAGGGGTTGGATGTTTATCATTTAGAGCGCCATCCTAGATGAGCTCTGTCCTCCCTTCATTCTGGCTGGTGTTCCAAGGATTTCCCAGCGAATTGTGATATCCCCAATGTTTTGGATAACTAGTAGAAATCATATCATCATCAATCAAGCATCATTTATCAAAAAAAATATAACCCTCCATTTCTGAATGGTTAAACCCCAGTGGAAACTAAAAATCATCAAATAATCACCAACCAACCATGATTTATGAACTTTATCCTAGCTATATAGAAATAATTAAGAAGTATATATATATATATATATATCCATCTTTTCATGGTAAAAATCCCTATTCATAATGGTTAGTCACGTCATCAACCGCAGAACAGACCAGCGGACTCGCCATAGTTTCCATGGCACCTTCTTGAGTTCCAAAAGCATCTCCTCGGAGCCAGTTTTTGTGACCCCACCGTGGGAAAAATGGTCGTTTTTTCGATAGTTACTTGGCAAAAATATGGTTCCAATAACGACGGAATTTAGATAGTCTGGTAAATAGTTATTTTTTGGTAACTGTTATTGGAGTTCTACAGTTATTCCACAATTGTTGCTTCCAATAACTATGGAATTGAACCTCTGGTAAACGTTTACAGCTTGCGAACTGGAAAATCACCATTTTTCATTGGTAAATCAGCGAACTAAATGGTTATTTTCAATAGCTAAGTTAAATTACCAGAGGGTAACGGGATTGTCTGGGATTTAGTTGGCTAACTGGTTTCTACATAACTACAACAACTGTTGGGTCGATGAGGGAAATATATTGACAGAGTTAGATGGGGTTATAAATCAACAAACTGCAAAACCACTTTGTACCAGTACATGTGGTCTGTCAAATGAAGAGATGGATATAATGTTATGTGATGATATATGCACAGATTGTAAAAACAAACTATGTACCGAACAGATGTTGATCTTCTATCTTGAAATATATTTTTCCAAGTCTCCGTGGTGGTTTTTGGTGATTAATTGGATGAATATCCCATTGGAATACCACCAAATATATATATATATTCACCACAAATTTCAACCAGGTAGATATTCTTACGTTCTTTCTGGCATACAATATCTGGCATTTCAAGCACCCATATCCAATAAGATTACCAAACTGATATTAACCACTACTAGTGATATTCACCACTATGAAACTATAATTCAAAACAAGCATTATTGATATTTACCATTATCATTCACCACCAATTGATATTAACCATCTACTAATCATATAACATCTAATACATAATAATAAGAGTAATGATGATACTGAATGATACCAAACATCCTTATAATGATGGCTTAAAAATGGCTTAATATTCAAATTAGTTTATAATAATATTCACCCATATGGATGAATCTAAATGGAACCAAATCCATTATTATATGGATACACAGGTTAAAACTGATATCAATCCAAATATCCATCATGATTGATATTCACTACTATTATCATGCTACACAAATCAAAATGATAAGTACAATTCGTAACCATCACTATTGATATTCACCATTAACATTCACCAAACATACATACATACATACATACATACATACATACATATTCTTAGCAACCTTCATTATTGATATTTTTGTGGTTGGTGGTTTCAACCCCTCTGCAAAATTTGAGTTCGTCAGTTGGGAGTATTATTCCCAAGATATGGAAAGTCATGAAGATCCAAACCACCAGCCAGTGATTAATAACCATGATTAACAATTATTAACCATTATTAACCATCATTACCCCATACTAAATGTTCCAAACCACCAACCAGATAGTCATTAATAGGTGATTAAGAGGTGATTAGCTTAGAGTCAGTATATCAAACAACCATAATTAATAGATGATAATCACCATTTAACAACCTTTAATAGATGATAGAATTTAAAGATTCTCCAAGTCTCCTTCTCCGTTTGGTCCAACTGCTGCGTGGTCCGTTTGGTCTCCGCCAGATTCACCGAGAGCAGCGCGGCGGACAACGACAGCAGAATCACCGCGCAAACGGCCAGGAAGGCCGCCACGGCGCGGCCCAGGGCGGTGAAGGGATAGACGTCACCGTAACCCACCTGGGCTGGGTTAAAAATGGGAGAAAACATTTGGAAAACATGGGGAGTTCAATGATTTATGATGGAAAAAATTGTAGATAATATATCATGATTTATCGACTATAGTTTGGGGTTTTGGAGTGATTCTTGTGACTGATTCAGGATAGTGGCTTGGGATCTGGAGTTTTATCAAGCAAACATGAGGTTTTGACCAAGGAAAACGTGGTATTCCTATAAATTCTACAAGGTGGTGCCCCAAATCCGAGTCACCAAGATGGTGCACATCACTAGGTGAATACTATGGTTTATGATGGCTTATGGTAGATATATTGGCATAGTTATTGGGTTTACAGCTGATTCATGATAGTGGTTTGGGGTTTGCTTGGAGAAATTTTGGGTTTTTGACGGGATGACTATGAAGTCGATTTCAGTTTCAAAGCAAACACCGGAATTTCAATTTCAGGAAAGTGGTTGGTTAAACCCTTGGAAAGTGAGGGATGTCAACGGTGCATATATGTTAATTGAACAGCCGAATCAAACAGCCGACAGCATCAGCAAAACCCAGTCACGGTGGTCAAGGTGATGGTGGAGAACCAAAAAGATGCCGGAATGCTTTCCTGAGAGGCGATCCCAGTTATGGGTCTAGTATCTTCTCTGTTTCTAGCTGGTTCTAGCTAGGTAAATCACAAAATTGGTTGATCCAAAATTGATAAATCCCAAAGTTGCTCCCAACATCCCAGCTCCAAGGGGGAGCACATGTTCATCCCAGTGGGGAATAACCAAAGACCATTTGGGTTTGTAGCTGGTTTTATATGGATTATATATGGGTATACCACAATTATTTATCGGTTGTGCATGGGCAAAATATGTCCCATTGCATCCCCATACCCCCATCATATCAGGAGATCATCAATGATACCCAATATACCAATATTAAAAACCTTGAAATCCCATCAAATCACCATGAAATCTCCACTTCAATCCGTGTAAATCACCATAAAATCCCACGATATCACCATTTTAGCTGGAAAACGAATTTATACCTGAGTTCATTTCAACCCGTTTTTTTCGCTCAGTTTCAAAGCCCGCGCAGGGCAACCCGCGCTCTTCACAGCGATCTGATTCCACCAGATACAGCAATGAGGCAGAGACCACCACCAGGAAGGATAAGACGGCCAAAATGGCCACGGCGCTGCCTCAGTCGCGCGGCTCTGCCGGTGATTTTTGAATAACTAACCAAATAATAAACGAAATCAATCAATCAATATACATGTGTGTATATACCAGTAGTACGGCACAAGGCGGTGGCGGCAGTTTCAATGATAGGACTCTATAGTAGGGGTGAGTTGTTGTGATGCATGGATGGCAGAGCGAATCCACTGATGCTGCTGGCCTCAGGCTCCTCACAGCGGCGGTACGTGGCGAGGAAGGAGTCTCTTGCGACACGGTAGACTTCTGTCAGTCCGTGACTTTTGCCACAGCCAACGATGAAGTCACCACTCCTTAGGTGAACTCTGACTGAAACCAACAAAGCAACTCTGACTGCAGCCTGGGCACATCACAAACATGACCTCGCCCCATGCGGCCATGAAGGGCCCACGAAAGCCTTGCTGGCCTAAGGCTTCTGACTTTGCAGCTCTTCCTGCGCCATTGCTTGCATCTTTTGGGCGACGGGATCCAAAGTAGCTGCAGCCACCTGAAGGTGCTGCTCAACCTTGACGCGGAAATCCTTGTTGGTGCACCGCTGCCAGTCCACTAGCGGCAACAGCTCCCGCACTGCTGCCTTAATGTCTGCCAAGGCTGGCAGCGAGGCTGGCGCTTTTCCATGGGGCCAAAAAGACTGCACAAAGCTCGAGAAGCAAACACGGCTGCCGGATTTGGCGATCGTGTGTGAGGGCATGATCGTGGATTTGCCGTTTTGTCGATTTGGGCAAGGTCTCCTTGCCACGTTTCATGTGGTCAACACAATTCATTGGAAAGTTCCATGCCGCACACGTGCAGCACACGTGCAACACACGTGCAACACGACCACTTTACCTGTAAATTTACGATCAAAATGCCTTTCTGGCAACTTTCGGCGCCCCAAGGCCATTTCAAAAGGAAAGGAGAACATTTTGCACCCTTGCGCGAAAATCAAAGGAATTTGCAGCAAAAATGCTCGTGTTGCACGTCGTGTTGCACGCACGTGTGTTGCACGTTGGTTGCATGTGTTTTCTCAGGTATTTCCTTTGCGGCCTCAAAAGTCCTTGGCTGGCAGCACGTTTTCGGAGCCTGGTGTGGAACTTTCGTGGCAGGCGCAAGATTTTGAGTGGCAAGCACAACACTTTCGAGCAGTAAAGGCAGGCGTGGGAAATTTTGGAAGGCAAGCGCAATGTGTATTTTGTGTCTGTGTGAGAACCCTGTGACAGTTCCCTGGTTTGCTCGCAGCAAGCCATTTTGCCAGTGCGATGGGCGAAGTCAAGGACCAAGCACAATTCGCGTAGCCCCCCCTCTGTGAAACTAATCCCGGGCAATGGCGCCGCCTTTAGCCATCACCACGGCCTTTGCCCTATCTTTCATGGATGCCACAGCTGCAAGGTGCTTTCAGAAGGGGGCCCCGGTACATGCTTGCGGCAACCGAACCGTTCCATTTGCCCTTGTCCAAATGGTGCCACAGCCGCAATTCTCCGTCAATGATGCAGGCGCAGACTGTGACAGAGCCACCTGGATTGACACGGTTTTTGCGTGCATTGAGCTTCTCGCAATGCTGGGCATTGCCTTCACCTCGTGTCCGCAAATGCCCTTTCACTCGCCCCTGCTTTACTGCACGCAAAGCGGCCGCATGAGTGGGGATCTGGAACTTTTTGTTGTCCAGGATAGCATCCACAGTGTGGGTGAAATAGTTGCTTGGCAAGTATTTCCACTTGTTGCAGATGCGCATACGTTCCTACCGCGCCTTCTTGTCTAAGGTCTGGACCTCACGGGCAGGACGCCAATTGATGTCAAAGCCATCGGCCTTGAAGTTCTTGGCCAAGGTTGTTGCGGAGACCTTCATGGGCAGGCAGCCAACCCGGAGTATGTGCTGGTACATGACCTTAGACTCTGACACTGCCTTTTTGAGCAATGTGTTCCTGACTTGGTTCAACTTGCGCACCTGTTTCATGGTGAGCTTCCTCTTTCTGCCACGTGTCTCCGGCAAGCCCCTTCTGGGATTGCCCCTTCAGGGCTCGTCGAACAGCAGTCAGGTTTGGAGAAGGCATTCCCTTTTGGCTGCGTTTTCCTGAGAGCCAAGCTGCAATTTGAACCAGCGTCTTGCCTCCAGCTTGCAGCGTGGCCATCTTGTCCAACTCTTGCTCTGTCAGGTGGGGAGCCATTGCCCCAAATAAAGTGGCTAAGAGTTTTGGACCTAACAGCTCCTGAAGAAAAGGTAAGAATAACCCGCCCCAAACTTGAAGACTGCTTTTGGGCCTTAGCATCCACCAGCGTGGCGTTGTCATATGTTTTGGGTTTAGAAAGTGTCACAAGTGACAAGGTACTTGAATTGGAGTCGCTGATTTGCATGCACATTGAAAAAACTTCCCCGGTATCACCACTATTACAAAATTGCCACTATCACAAAATCACCACTATCACAACAGAACCACTATCACAAAATCACCACTTTCACAGCATCACCACTATCACCACATCACCACTATCACAAAATCACCACTTCCACAACATCACCACTATCACAATATAACTACTACCACAATACCACCATTATCACCACTATCACCACTATCACCACTATCACCACAATACCACCACTATCACAACAATCTCGCCACTATCACAACATAACCACTATCACACAATCACCGCAATCCCAACATCACCACTATCACCACATCACCACTATCACCACAATACCACCACTATCACAACAATATCACCACTATCACAACAATATCACCACTATCACAACATCACCACTATCACAACATCACCACAATCACAACATCACCACTATCACAAAAAAAAAGGAAATCTGGCACGAAAGCTTCTTTTTCGCATCTCCCAGTTTCACTTTTTGAGGGAAGTCTCACAGTCTCACATCTTCCACTTTCAGATTTTGAGGAGAGTCTTGCACGAAAGCTTCGGTTTCACATCTTCCACTTTCACTTTTTGAGGGAGGTCTCGCACGAAAGCTTCGTTTTCACATCTTCACCTTTCACTTTTGAAGGGACGTCTCGCACGAAATGCGTTTTTGAAAGTTAGCGGAAGCACGAAATGTTGTGTTTTGCAGGACAAAACGTGTCTCGGGAGATGGGTGGGAAGCTTGTCCGGCGGACGGGTGCGGAACACGCTTGTTTAAACCAGGATCATGGTCGGATCGGCCGCGCTGTGGAACTGCCAGTTCAGGCGTCGTTTTGCCAACGTTCTTGCACGTAGTTCTATTGTGTTTGGCCACTCAGTCTCGTAATGCTATTGTCTTTTGCAGCTGGACATCGTAAATCGTTTGGAGTGGCTGCATCAAGGCTGCGATAGTGATTTGTTAGCGGACTTTCAGTTTAAAAGCTTGCGGTGTGTAAAATCTTCTCTGTGTAAATGCTTCTCTGTGAAAGGGCTTCTCTGTGTAAAAGCTGGCTGTGTGTAAAGCTTCTGTGTGTAAAAGTTTGCTGTGTGTAAAAGCTTCTCTGTGTAAATGCTTCTCTGGGTAAAAGCTTGCTACCACATAGCCTCCTATCATTGAGCGTGGATTCACTGCATCTCATACCTGAAAAGGGATCTTCACCTCCCAGCTTGCGGCTAAGATGTTGTCTTCCTGCATATGAGCCACAAGACCGATGGTATTTCCGATTATCGATTATAACTTATTGTAACTGTATCATATTTGACATTTGAATACATTTGAACTGTTTAACTGATAATAAAAGCTAGCCATCCCTGGTCGAGGTGGATGAACAACCCACATTACTCACCAAAAGAAAATTGGTCATTTTGAATGGCCCATAAGTTGGAAGAACCAATCCACTGCATCAAGGCTTTGGGCCCTGGGGTGGCCACCCGAATCGCCAAGATGTGCGACTCCAAGTTCGTTGCCTGAGGTGCCCGCATTTCCGCAGAAAGTGATACGGGAGTGAGATTTCACATTCGAACATCCGTGGTAATCAGTCACTAGAGCACAAGCTCGCGCACAGTGGCCACCTGTTTTTTCAACACAAGGCATTGGCTGATGTAATCACGGGTAAGCCTTTTAGCTTCAGCCCTTTTCAATTTCTTGCGCAACCTGCCAGGTATTCAACCGTATGTCTGTCAATTTTGTCCTTTAACTGTTTCTTGGTAATTTCCTCCGATTCCGAAGCCACGATCGTCGACTCACACAGTTTGTGATACACTTGTGTTCCATACTTCGGATATGCAAAGCTGATGTGATCCCCTGTGCTCGCGGTTCAAGTTTCCCCCCCTCCGGAAACAAAACGATGGAACAATGAACCCTACTTTTCGTTAAAAATTATAGGACCGGATAACCCCACATGTTACCAACTTCTTTAGACTTAGACTGAGCATAGAAAAGCAAGAAGGGAAGAGGAAGGATAAGAGTGATGGAGGGGTGATGGCGGGTGAGTGATGAGGGGTGATGGAGGGGTGATGGTGGGGTGTGTGTGTATGTATGTGCATGTACAGGTGAGTGAGTGAGAGTGTGAGTGAGTGATGTGAGTGTGGTGTGTGTGAGTGATGTGAGTGTGGTCTGTGTGAGTGAGTGAGTGAGTGAGAGAGTGAGTGAGGGTGAGTGAGTGAGTGAGTGAGTGACTGAGTGAGTGAGTGAGTGAGTGAGTGACTGAGTGAGTGAGTGAGTGAGTGAGTGAGTGAGTGTATGAGTGATTTCAGCGAAGCAGGAAAAAGTGTGAGCACAGTGTCCCACGCCTGCCACGCAAAAGAGGCGGAGCCCGAGGGACGCCAGGGCGTACATCCGACCCCTTCGCGTACATCCGACCCCTTGGCAGTGCACAGTGTCCCACGCCTTCCACGCAAAAGAGGCGGAGCCCGAGGGACGCCAGGGCATACATCCGACCCCTTGGCAGTGCACATTGCCCCACGCCTGCCACGCAAAAGAGGCGGAGCCCGAGGGACGCCAGGGCATACATCCGACCCCTTGGCAGTGCACATTGTCCCACGCCTGCCACGCAAAAGAGGCGGAGCCCGAGGGACGCCAGGGCGTACATCCGACCCC